CCACGATTTTTCCGATGTCAATAACTTTGCGAAAAATGACACAGAGCCTTCAAACCACAGGCATTTAAAAGATATCGATTTGTGTGAAAATTGTAACAGCTTTTATTTAAACAATATCCAGTACCTAGTTGCATTTTTAGAAACCTTAGTTTTTAAATAAAGCGGATCCCAGGTGTAAGTGACTTCATAACGCGACAACGTATTATGCTACTTTTTTATGCATCAGTTGAAGCCTTCTGCAGTCTCTCAAAAAACATAAAAATGTAATATAATTGTAAATTTAACCCCTATGACTAAAGTGCCTAGAAGGAATGACTTAAGCATTCCTTAAGCTGAACAGAGCCGAAAAATACAGATCCGAAAAAGTTTGATGCCGTTTTCTGTGCTTTAAAGGTACCCTCCCCGTTGAAGAATTTTTACTTTGAACGTATGCCCACCAACTAACACGCACACACAAAATGAATAACAGAAGAATAGCGATTACAAACTTTTAAAAAAACGTACTTGCAAGAGCACAGTAATACACTGTTTTATTAAAACTAACACTCTATGGGCACTACACTGCGACTTCACGGGGGCAACGTCAAGTAGCTAAATCACAGCTGGATACAATTTTAACTTGCCTCATGAAACCGAATATCCAGACATATCAACATATTTACTAAAATTATCCATCTCGGTAATCTCACCGTGCACCCTGGTGCTCACTCAATTTTCATACTCCCATTATAATAAAAAAACAAGAGCAAGGTTTTTCTGCTCAATTAAATAAAAAATAAAGCTACGGAGCAGACAGATGTTTAATTTTTCAAACAAAATTAGCCGTTTGTCAAAATCAGCTGCTTTGCAACAGTACATGACTTCTCGTACAGTACCTGTTGTGTCTGGTACAAACTCAACAAAGGTTTATTTTTTATAATTCTAAAGTTGGACAACATGCCCACCCCGCAGGTCTCGCCTCCCGCTGTTCCACACATGCCAATCACAGGAAGTCAGATACACAAATATACAGAAACAGTAGTGCACATGCCTAAGAACAGCAGTGTGATGTATACTGTATAAATATACTGTATATACAGTATGAGACTTTCGAAGCCACTACAACAATACAGTATGTGTGAAATATTTTTCTTAATCCAAATTTTAAGTTAAATTACTCGTTGATTAACTTTATATTAAGAGAAAATATACAGTAGATGTTTTTAATGCGGATGTAAACCAGTGAAAGAGGAACATCGCGTTCACAACAAGCTACTGTATAATAGTGGGCTATTTTTATATATTTGGCTATGTAAGAAACAAACCAAAAGTAATGTGCCAATCAGGCTTTGAACCACCAGTGTGCTGCTCACTACTTTACAGTCCATGAGCATTCCATTGTCTATGCCACTATAAGGACAATACAAGTTTGTGTTAAAAAAAACAAATGTCAAAATGTTTCCAAAACAACCACTTGTGATATTTTAGCTGCTTAGTTACACGATTCCATACTAATGTTACTATCATGTGGTATTAAATCAGTACAACTTTTTATAATACAATAACAGCAAGTGGTGTTCTTACTAGGTATTCTTAGAAAAGAATAAAACATTAGACAGTAACTTTTTATGGAGTGCAGTATATACACTATATATAATACCAGAACAAGCACATTAAAACCATAATGCACCGTAAGTCACCATGTTACAGACTTTGATGCATAAAATATTAATGAAGAGGTGCAATATATTACATTACAGTACTGTTATTTACCTTTGGGTTTTCTCTATAGATAGATAAGACTTTATTGATCTCGAAGGGAAATTGAGGTGTTACAGTAGCCCAGCCCAAGACAAGCAAAAACAGACATCAGAATAGACTAAAACTTAAAATAAGCACAGCAATACAAATAAATAGAATTAGTTGTGTGCAAAATATGCTCATAGTCACTGTAAAATAAAATATGTGCAAAATACGCATAGGTATATACAGATTGAAAGTACCACAGTATAAACAGTATATTAATGCAGTGTCCAAAAAGTACAATAGTGCAACATGCTGTCCATATACGAGCAGATGAAGGGCTAACAGTCATAGCCTAGGGCAGTGTTATACACCTTGACAGCCGCCGGGAGGAAGGACCTGCGGAAACGTTCCCTTGAACACCGTAGCTGCAGCAGTATGTTACTAATAGTGCTTCGCTGCCCAATAACAGTCCCATGTAGCAGATGAGATGCAAAGTTAATGATGGCTGTGAGTTTGGTCAACAATATTCTCTCCACTACCACTTCCAGGGGTCACGGCTCAGCCCCAAAACAGAGCCAGCCTTCTTGATGAGTTTATTGAGTCAATTTACATCTCTTGCCGTGATGCTGCACCCCCAGCACACAACAGCGTAGAAGATGGAAGCTGCCACCACTGATTCATAAAAAATATGTAGCAGTGTTCCACATACACCAAAAGACCTGAGCCTCCTAAGAAAATAGAGTTGGCTCTAACCTTTCTTGCACAGGGCGTCAGTGTTAACAGTCAACTCCAGCTTACCATCCAGGTGTACCTCTAAGTACTTGTAGGACTGCACCACCTCTATGTCCTCACCCTGGATGAAAACAGGGTTCAGCGGAGACTTATTCCTCTGAAAGTCCATGTCCATTTCTTTAGTCTTGCTAGTGTTTAGCTGGAGATGGTTAAGATGACACCACTCCACAAAGCTGATCATCAAGCTCCTATATTCCTCCTCCCTCCCCTCACTAATATACCCAACAATTGCAGAGTCATCCGAAAACTTTCAGTCCAGTGCTATACTCACCAGGGTTCTGAGGTGGTCCAGTACAAGCCTTTCCAGAGTTTTTATCAGGTGTGATGTCCATGCCACTGGTCTGTAGTCATTCAAGACTTTAAGGTGCCCCCTTTTGGGTACTGGCACCAGGCAAGATGTCTTTTAGAGCACTGCAACCCTTTCTAGTCTCAGGTTCAGGTTGAAGATGTACTGCAGCACTACACCCAGTTGGTCCGCGCAGATCTTTAGCACACTAGTGGATGTAAACATGAAAGAGGCACATCACGTTCACAAGCTCCAGTATAATGACAGTTTAAAATTAATAAAAGTCTAAACAGTGTACAATTTAAATTCTATAATTGAAAAAAGATTGAGCTGGGATTCGTAACCAGGCGTTTTCTGGTGACAGCCCAAATGCTCCACACACCACGATGAGCTTTCACAGCTCCACCTGGCGGTTTTACAAAGTAGTGCACTCACATAACTGAACATGTCTGAAATGCTGCGGTCTACCACAATCTGCTGCAGTCTCGTGCAGTGGCTGGACTGCAAGCTATTGCAGCATCCCTCGTGCATTCTGAATGGCTGGATCTGTAGGTGCACAAATCTGAACCTTCAAACTTACCACACAAAAGGTGTTGTAGGCTAGATTTAAATCATTACTGTTACATGTAAAAGAGTATTTAGATGGAATAAATAATTTTTAAGATGATATCTTTCTACTGAGCAGATGCAAGAGGTGTAAATTACAATTTTGATTTATTCCAACACTGCATTGCATAAACAAAAGCAAGAAAAGCCTGAGAAAGCCAAATTGCTACACCTCTGGCTTAGACAGTAAACTGATTTCATGACATCTTTAAAAGATGAAATGGTACTGTCCATTGCAGGTGAAAAGAACTGGTCAAAATAATACATCTTGTTCTTGCAGCCAGGTTTACTCCACAAACTTCAAAGCTGAAGGAAAGGAGAAAGCAATACCAAATACCTCCCAAGCATATTTTGAAAGATAATGTTTGTTTATTCTGTACGATGATTTATAAATTCTATGATATAAAGATGTGACATTATACTATCAGTAGGCACCCCTTGTTATCTGCAGCTGATGAATTGACTTGGCCACACCTCTCTATTTTCTCAGTGCTGTAGAAAAACCTTACATGAAACACATTCAGATAAACAAAAGCACATGTTATCATGCCCATTTGCCTGTTCTGCTTGCTTGTTTCAATGTTTTGCATGTTACAGGGTCCTGAAGGCATGCCTGGCCGAGCAGGATTTCCTGTAAGCTTATTTTGAATGTTTTGTCTTCAGTTTAAGTTTCTATCATATTTCCTTAAGGTTGAGACCTTAAAGGGTTTTAAATCACTTTATCCAGAACTTCTTTCAGTTTAATCTCCTTTGCACACTGTCACGTTTTCTCAGAGTATGTATTCCATCAAATATGTATGCACAACAATGATAAATGCCTTTTAAGTAATGTTTCAATAGAAAGGTATTTGAAGAAGGAAAAGTAAAACATACTACTAGTGATATTTGTTTATCTCTCCAGATGCAAATGCCTGTTTATTTTTTGTGCTAAGACATCGCCTATGTGACAAGACAAAGTTCCAAAAATATAAATTGAAATTCAGTCTTTGAAATGAATCTACTTTATTCAGGGTCACATAAAATATGTAATCAGAATATGCCCCGAACAACTTTCTGCTTTTTGTTCTATTTCCTTGTTTTTAAATATTGTGAAAGTGGAAATAGTATCAATTTGTTGTCAAATTTATTGATCTTCTCACAGGGACCCAGGGGACCCAAAGGTGACATAGGCTTTCCGGGCATTCAGGGTCCTCCAGGATTAAAGGTAATGAAACAGCAGGGCTCCTGTGACTGGTGGGACTGGTGATTATACCCTATGCGGTGCAGTGTTTCCCAGGACAAATAGGAAGCAGACATCAGAGAAAACACACAAGGGTTTATTCGCAAAGTTAGTGCACAGTGACAACAAGTGCTCTGGTGAACAGGGGAAAACAAGGCATCCAGGTACAAGCTAATCCATGGGGGTAAATCAGGGCGCAATCCAAAAATCCTAAACCGGGCGATCCGTCCAACCAGACCGACACAAGGAAATCGGGAACAGTCCAAGAACATACAGGGCCCAGTCCTCAGATCCCCGGGATCAGGGGGCGTGATGCCTCTGGCAAGGCCTGTGCCCTCAGACGACTCCGCTGGCTGGTTTTTGGCAGGTCTCAGGACATCCGTGTCCTAGCGCTGAGCCCTGAGCTGCATAAGCTGTAAGCTTATATATCAACGCTGATTCTTAACACCTGGAAATAATACAGCAATCAAACTAGGACTCGGGAATTTGGAGAGCCCCCTAGGGGAAAGGATGCTAAACCGTAACAGCTCCTTCAGCTATGTAGACTCACTCACTACTGCCACACACACCTACAGTACTCCTGCAGAACAGGGCAACAGATATGGAACACAGTTTTGACCTTTCTAACCCTCAGAGTCTTGATATCTAATGAAATTAGATTAAAATGATAATAAGTTTGCTTTGATTTGAATAAGGGGTGTCTATATCTATTAATTCTCATTCTCCTGTTCTACAAAATCCATTGAAAAAAGCAACATCAGCTGTAAACAAAAGTCCATTGACAGCAATCTAGACCTTCTAAACAAATATAACCACAAAACGCAACCTTTTAGTATATGAATATACTTAAATTTTAGTATTTTACTTCAGTATCCTGTTTTTATGTTTAGTATAACATAAAAAGGGTTACAGATAAGAGGAGGTTGTTGGACACAACTTCTTGGACTTTTGGTTGTTAGTAGCTTATTGATCCTATATGATATATATCATTTCTTAAATGATTCCAGGGAATCTGCTTTAACAACATAGATGTGCAGTTTTCTTCATAACCCCCTAAAGCCTATTGTGTAAAAGTGTGTCTTTCAGTCCTAGATGTTCTGCTTCCTAATTTCAAATTGCGCCCTTGGGTTGTTATTTCATTGTTGATTCTGAAGTAGTCAGCTGATGGTCTTTAAATGCTTGTGTGACATCCCCTAGTATTCTCCTATATGAAGACTAAAGAGGTGCTATTCCTTTAATCTTAGTAAGATATTCTTTTAAGGCTTGGTTTCAAGGCCTTTCTCGTCCCGGATACCGTCACAGTCTTTTTAAAACCACTTGTTGCTTTTAACACGTTTACTAGACCTGTGGTACTCCAGTTTAGTCTGAGTTCTTTCCACTTAGAGTAACTCTATTTATATTCATACAGTGATGTTCAACCCATGTGGATGCATTACCTTGGATTGTGTAAACTGTAATAACTGTTTATACACAAATAATATTCATGAAGCCCTGGTGCAGTGCCCTGACCCTTGTGTTTGTATCCAGGGTGAGAAAGGTGAGCCAGGGGTGACCATTGCAGCCGATGGATCCCTGATGTCAGGACTGAGAGGACCACAGGGGCCTAAAGGAGTGAAGGTCAGATATGTTGCTTCTGGTGATTGTGCCATTTTTCATTTACTAGTTTAAATTTACTAACTTTTTTCTTGTCCATGTTATACAGGGGGATCGTGGTTTTCCTGGGCCCATCGGAGTAATGGTATGATATGCACTAACTCTTATCATGTATCAGTGTTTTAAGGCCAAATTTCTGTGCTTGTTCTGTGTGGCTTTTAAAAAGTTTAAATTAACAGTAAAGACTATCTTGTGTTTTTTCTATTTTGTTTCTGTCTCAGGATTTCTTGGACAAGACTTATCTGTTATCTGTTAAAAACTTCAAATCTACAGAATCCGATTTTGTTTAGAGTAAAACAGCTTTCGTCTGGGGATGAAATGTCAGACATTTTCTAGACCCAAGTGGTCGTAGCTTTTTGACCAACATGAATCATTTTGATATCCTAACTGCTCTCTATGGCAAATAGAGAACTGAAACACGAAGGCATGAAGACGCTTTAGGTACATTAATAATAATTTGGAAATAATAATGAAATGAACAATGATTTAATAATTTGAGGAAATAATACTAATGATTTATTAAAATACTTTTTTTGAAGGGCCCAGAAGGACGACCTGGTCTAAAAGGGGAATTTGGGTTTCCTGGCCGGCCCGTAAGTGCTAATCTTTCTCCATCTGAAATGTGACAGTAATGGCTAAAATAATAAAGCTAGAAAGATGCTGGAAGAAATCATGGAAACTTATATCTTTATCTTTTTAAGTCAAGTTGGTGTGTTGTAAAGACAGGTAGAGGACCACAGATACGTCTGTAGTAAATTCAGCATGGCAAATGAAGTCAGTAATTTACAACATTGAGACATTCACATACAGTAGCTCAAGACTTGCTTGTGACTTGTGACATGTGACCTCCATCATAACACACACATGGCTATATTCCAGATATTAACTTGCACTTTACGTTTCCAGTCTCCAGTTATACATGCCAGCACCCTGTCATTATTGCTATGATACACCAAGTTTTCTCCCCTGCAGGGCCGTCCAGGAATGGTGGGGAAGAAGGGGGAGAAGGGAGAGGCGGTGGTGCTGCCGGTAAGTGTGACAGTCAGTTTCATACTGAAATAAAATATTTTTTACACAAAAACGGTTCTTCAATATATTCTCATTTGTAAAACTCCAATAAACTGTTGGCAAATGACTAACTGACACTCATGATGTTTATCAAAGTTGCTTGTAGCCGTTTCAGCTGAATGGGGAAAATGGTATCAGATCCATTTTTTTTCTGGGACAGTTAATAAGGCCTGGTTTCTGGCTCCCTCTTTTCGGGTCCAGGAATCAAAACACGAATACATGGTGGTATCAACTCCACAGTCAAACTGCAAGAGTTCCCTTATTCTACTAATTAGATCATGCATATACAGTACGCAGTAATACACTGCCTATAGAAAGTCTACATACCCTTTCTAAAGAAAAACGTTTTGTGGCCTGAACAGCCTGTAATCAAGATGCATTACATCAGAATGTATTTTACCTTTACACATTGTAAAGCATAGACTTCAAATGATTGGTAGGAAATTAACATAAATTAGCTCTGGTGTAAACAGTTGCCTTCCAAATCACACAACAAACTAATTAGCCTCCTCCACCCGTATTCAGTTGTAGTGATTCTGATGATTTGAGAATAAAACCAAATGTCTCTGTAGGTTTCTTCAGCTAGATAGTGCCTCTAACAGTACATCTGTGGACAACAAGGAGATATTTGAAGACTTCTGGGTGCTGTGGAAAGGCACACAGCAGGAGATGGTTATAAAAAGATTTCAAAAGGTGTAGACTTTCACCACACTTGCTTGTACAAACAATCTGACAGAGCCATGGTCCATATCATAGTCCCTACTGAGTGCATATTTGTGTTGTGCACAGTATGCAATGTGGTATTCACACATCAGGAATATGGCATACAAAAACGGATGAATTTCCCATTAAACATCTTTACATGAATGTTAAGATGAAGGGTACATGCCTGTATAAAATTCACAGTGATGTTTTGCCAGGTTTTCAAATTCTGATTCTGTGCGTTGAATGCTTTTAAATAAAATCCTTTTAAATGAATTTTATAAAGCAGTTATTTCTGCATTGATTAAAACCTCCAGCTCATACTGCAGTGTTCAACTACTGTAGCTTTGCCACACAGACAACAGACCAGACCTACTATGAAAATAAACCTGCTTTTTACTGTATGTGTTTGTGTGCATTTGTGTGTCTTGTGGCCCAACCTTTGCAACTGGCAGTTTCATTAACTACTAATAGCTCCAGATACTGCCTGGCGTACATTTAATTAAGCTGTAAAATACAAAATTTTGTGCCAAATCAAAAGCAATATCTTTAACTTACAGATGGGCTTAATTTGCAAAAATTAAAATTTTGGTCACACAAAAATCTAAACTACCATGCATTTCCAGTTTTCTTTATGTTCTGAAAATTTTAAAGAATTAAGTATAAAAACAAGCAGTAAAGCTGATTATAAACAGTAACATTAATTTAAAAGAAAACAATTTTTCCACCAATCAGCAGAGTTTTAATAACAGTGTAAGCACAATCCCAGTAAGTGCAAACATTCTGATTCACAAATTGCACACACCCAGAACCCGTTCTGTTCATATAAGTTCTGGATTTCGTACACTGTCACACACACAGTGTGCTGGGTTCTAAAATTTTCCACTTTTAATTCACCCCAAATGTAGCGGATGAAGATCATTTTGTGACCTTGAGTACAGGTATACATAAAGCACCTAAATGTTTTTATTGCTTTCTGAACATTAGAATACTGCATTAGGCAATAGTTTCACAGTCCATAATAGGATTACCTAATGCTAATTTAGGTGGGCAACTCCAGTATCTGTGCTGCAGTAAAACCAGAGGTATGTACAGTATAGATGTTTGCTGTTCACCTGCAGTAGAAGGGGTTGCAGTCGCCCCAAGTCTGTGGTCTTTGTTCTGAAGGATTTCTCCCCATTCCATGTAAAAGATCTAGGATCCAGGATCTTGGAACTGTATTTCTAATATTGTGTGTTCACAGGGCCCCCCTGGACCTCCTGGCCCCCCAGGACCTCCTGGAGCAGTTTTGGGCCTTAAAGGAGTAAGTTCTAAGCTTTTTATCATATCGCAACAACTTCCCACATTCATTTTCCTCATTGCTACTGTATTTGTAAAGTTGTTTTTAGTTGTTTTTTTTAAACGATTGTTCTCAGAATAATTTCCCTCTAAATTTTAAAGACAGTTTTTCCGGTGCCTCCCAGACCTCACTGCAAAACACCAGTAAGTGTTCCAAAACACTTTACAGCTTAACAAAGTGCCTTGGTGTGGTCCATTTGAGTTTGCATACCAGATCACCCGTTAAGGAAGGCTGCCAGCTCTTCCTGATACCCTTTCTCTCACCCACTGGTTTTCTGTGTTCCTGCTACTTTGACTTTTTTTTGTTTCAATCCAAAGCACCACTGCATGTAGCCAGCAAACATAATATCATCTGATATGGTTAATCTTTTCATACTTCTTGCTCCCAACTTGTTAAAATGAATGTAATAGTTATTATAATATAGTACAGTGCCTTGCGAAAGTATTCGGCCCCCTTGAACTTTTCAACCTTTTGCCACATTTCAGGCTTCAAACATAAAGATATAAATTTTTTATTTTA